TGTATATGTATATGTATATGTATATCGGGCCACGACTGCACTTCGGTGTTCATACTGTCCCCGCGAGGTGTCGAATGCAGAAGCTCATGATCGGGGATCAATCGGCTTCAAGCGCAAGAGTTGTATACCCACACCCAGTTCACGTGTTGAATAAGTTTGGAACGTGGAAAAGTCCGCCGCCGACACATGCGAAACGGCAATCGTTGCCAGGCCATATGCTTCAAGGTAACTGCAGTGCGATGTCCACTAGAAGTCATGTCTCGGACGGCGTCAAAGTTTACACTGCATGAATTATGCTCGCTGTAAGATTTGCTTCTGTTTTTGAGCAAGTTGAGGTTTGAGTCTTTGTGCTGCAGACGGCGTGACGGCACGCCCATGATGCGACTGCACATGCATGCTGTTGGGCTGCCTTGATCGAGGTTGCACGAGGTAAGCTGAACAAGCGTCAAGTGGATCGCGTGGGTAACGCCTTCGAAACGCCAAACACAAGCTTGCAAACCCCAGAGTCTGCGTGCAAGCTCCGAGGTGTTGCGCAGGAGAAACTTGCAGAGTCCCAGCGTCGCGAAGAGCAAGCCCAGCGTTGGAGGCAGACTCCCTGTAATGCAGGTTCAAGGTTCTAATCCGGGGACAGACGGGCTTGGCAAGCCGGTGATCAGCCGGAGCAGTTTGGCATGCTGTTGCAGAAGCACGGCGAACTGCCGTCTGATCTCAGCCTTTGCACGTGTGACGAGTCTTGCAGGCGCTGGCTCAAAGCATGTGGGCCATTGCGTGTTCGGGGCTATTTGCCTTGGTTGTTCTGCTTGTTCTGGGCCCCATGGCGGATCCACGGCCGGAGGCTGGGCGGCTCCTGCCCTAACCCTTGAAGTCGTCTCACACCGCCTCTGAGGGTTCCTGCGGCCGGCTCCTAAACCAGAAGGAGGCCATCGCCGTGGATGAGGCCTCCGTCCCCTTACGAGGACTTAAGGGCACAGAAGCCCCATAATATCCCTGCCAGGAACTCATGGCCAGTCCTGGCTTCAGCGTGGATCAGTTGATGGAGTTGGCAGGACTTTACTGGAGGGGATCAGCCCTAAATAGCAGGGCCCTTATGCATGCTGTTTTGGCATCACGAGTTTGTCGTTGCGGCATTCCTGGGCGAAGTGTGCACGAAACTGCCGCTTGTTCAGCTCAAGCAGCGTGAGCCCCGAATGGTAAGCAACCCCGCAGCTCACGTGGTCTCATGGTCGGAAGCAAGACAGAGCAAGACTGCGCGACATTCGGGCAGCTTGTTGTCGCTCAACATTGCGTACAGCGGCATACTCGGCATACAGGTAGAACAGCTTGGATTCTACATAACGTTTGAGCAAAACCCTGGAACAAGGAATCACGAAGTCAACCGTGCAAGAGCGGATAAAGGGCAACGAGATTACCCGCAGAATGCCAATGTGCCAGCGCGGCACTCAGCCAGATGCGCCGCCAAGGCAGCTGCGGATCGGAGGCTCGGAGGTTGGGTGCTTCGAAATGGGGGCTTCTGAAAATAGGGGA